ATTTGTATAGAGCCGAGGCTCTAAACGATCGAATTAGAGCCCACCTTTAAATAGTGTCGAGAAATATAATTTTAATACTGAAAAGTTTTTTGATAGCCTTAAATTATATTTTTATCTTTAGTTGCAAAATTTAAAGCTTAAAAAATAGTGTAGATCGAGCCGATCTATGAAAACTTGAAAATATTGAGAATTGACAGTCCAAAATGCGTTACAAGGTGCACTAATTATGAAACTTGAAATCCATTTTTTTCTCATTGTTATGCATCTTGATGTGGAGGTGATCAATTTGATGACATTTGGGCATCAAAACAACCTATTCTAGTGAAAGTTTTGCAGCAGGATCTATTATGATTGTTTAGAGCTTAAACTCTATATAAACTTTTTCCCTATATATATATATATATGAGTCATGATCCTATGAGACCCTCCCACACCCATGTATGTAAGACTCCAAAGGATCACCATTAAATTTGACACAAATCTATAAAAAAATGATTGTATGAGTGTGAGACTTGACTTTTTTAGAGATTTGTGTCAAATTTAATTGTGATCTTCTGGGGTCCTACACATATGGGTGTGGGAGGGTCTCATGGGATTATTATTATTATTATTATTATTATTATATATGGAAAAAGTTGGGGTTAGCCCACTAGCTCATATGAGCTCAACGGGTCCAGAATAAATCTGGGCCGATCTGACGATCACGGAGTTGGGTAATGCTTGAATTTTATTTCTTTTTCTACAAATCCAAATAACTTAAAATTTTAGGTGTATGTTCTTCTCATTAAGGCGCACATAATAAAAATATTAAAAAAAATATTTGTAAAAATAAAAATAACCAAAATACTCCCAAACTTTTTGAGGGTATTTTAGTCAATTTATTTCATATAAAATATATTTTTGATATTTTTCGAACATTCACCTATTTCTTTTATAAACATATGCCTAAAAGTTTAAGTGATTTGGATTTGTAAAAAAATAAATAAAATTCAAATGCTATCAGATATCTGTGATCGTCAGATCGGCATAAATTCAATCTGGATCGTTGGGCTCATATGTTCATATGAGCTAGTAGGCTAGCCCCAGTGCTTTCATGCAACATTTGTCTAGTAATATAATACAACAATCTTCAAAAATCATGTTTGGGCCATTTGTTTGATCCAAATTTTGAAATATACATTATTTTCATTCTATTGAACAATCACAAAAAATAAAAATTTGAAAACATAACCTATAAAGTACTATTGACCCCAATTAACATAAACCGTCTATTTTGATAAGATGCTTAGATTTAGGCCTTCAAAGGATTTTTTTCTTTTCCAAGTTTTCTAGATGGCTTTATTATCATTAGATGAACAATGTTAAAAAAGAAAAAAAAGATTTTGAGTTTGTAAAGGTTAAGATATTGAAATTTACCAAATGAATGATCTAGATTCGTTGTTGAAGGGGATTCCTTTTGACCATATCTAGGGTTCAAATTGAGTTTGTTTTGTTTTTTATTGATTATTGAGATGAAGAAAGTGTGTGTGCAAAATTTTGGACCATACAAATATCACAAACACGATTTCTAGATGTATGATTGCATTATACTATGATACAACCGTTGTATTAGTTCATTTCCTAAGTTTTAAATTTCAATTCATATTTTTCCAGATTCATGATCTTAGGATTTGAGATCAGTGTTTCATGACTTGGCGTAGTCCACTAGGACTAGGCCTATGGGCATCTTGCCCCTATTTAAAATTAATGATTTAGAAATGCATTATTATATGATTTATATGGTTTTTAGATGATTCGGGTTCTTATTCCATGTACCAAGTTTTTAGTTTCTTTTTTTGACCTTTCAATGTATAAATTTACTTTTTTCCAATTTTATATCGTTTATATATTTTTTAGAAGACTTTAAATGATTTCTATTAGTTGTTTTATTTTCTTTTGATTTTTAACTATTTAAAACATTTTTTCACTTTTTTTTTATAAACATGTTTTTTATCTTGTATAGGACTTGGCCACTCAGACTATATGTATTCCCTATTTTTTAGTGGAATGCAATTGTACTGGAAGTGGTCTAAATAAAAGGATTTTCCCTAAAAGAAAATAAGTAGCCACTTTTAGAATTCTTTTTAGTCTTACTCTTTCGGTCAAATCACCTGAGATGATTATTTTCAAAAGAAAAAAAAATTAAATATTGAGTTTTTTTAATGCTTAGATCTCATTTTTGAAAATTGAAAATTTTTTGTTCAGTCTTGAGACATTATTTCTTTCAAGATTTTTTTTGTTCAATCTCGAGACATTATTTTTTTGTGACACATTCAGGCTATCAGATTTCACATCAAATAATTGTAAGTAATTGTGACCGCTCTATGTACCAAAAGTAAATTATCTCCTTATATATTATCCCATCTTCTTATTGAGGTTATTTTACAGGCTGAAAAGGTTACATCCCAAAATTTAGTGTCCTAAGATTGAATTTTACCTGAGGGAGTAAGTAGACAGTGTACTCATGTGGAAGCAGAAAATTGTTGGGCATTTGTCCAATAACAAGAACGACAAGGTTTTGGTGATTAAGCTTACCCATCTATTACTGTGCGGTCCCTTGTCTATCTAATGTCTATCTCTAAAATGAATGTAAAAAAAATATTATCTCCACTTAAAGTTAAAATAGATGGTAAACAAAGGAATTCAAAAAATAATATTTATATATATTTTTTATAAAAATTTCAAATTTAGATTATTGTCATCGTTGAGATTATTGAATTCTAAAATTTTGAATTGAAAATATATTATTGAGATTATTTGGTAGGGAGACCATACAATAATGGATGAAGTTTCTACAAGGCCCATGCATAATGAAAACAAAATAAAGCCTCAGTTAAAATCCGCTTTCAAAAAGTACTTTCAGCAACAAAAATCTTCATGATGGCTCTAAAATCAATTTTCAACACCGATAATGTAATTTGAAACTCAAAAAATAGTATGGATCTTGCATATCTATGAACATTTAATTTTAGGACGAAATAGGCAGTATAGATAATTTATTATAACATACAATATTTTTCAAACTTTAAATCTTAATTTTTTTTAACAATTGTTGAAGCCCAGATGATGGATATAAAGGTTTTCCAATACATCGAATTGCAAATTTGAATGAGTTATAAAGTTAGGGTTTACTTGTTTTGATAGGGCTTCAGCTACTTCTAGAGAGAGGAACACTCAAATTTTTCTCACGCATTTTAGTGTGAGAAACCGATTCCGCTTAAAAATCTGCACTATTTCTAGAGAGGGTAACACTCAATTGTGGGCAATCACTGTAATGATAGTTCTAGAGCGAGAGAGAGAGAGAGAGAGTCTTAAAAATCGTTCACTCTTTCAAAAATTTCAAAACTGGTTGCATGGGTGTTGTATCTATCTGTGGTTGTAGAGTGAGAAAGTGTCCATGGCCATGACTCAATCACAGAGAGATGAGCTCTCCATCTATAGCTCTCAGAACCGTGAAAACCACTGTTCTTTCTCTGAACAAAGCCATTGCAAAGCTCACACGCAAAGGCCAGATTGCAGAGGCTCGCCGAATCTTCAATGGTTCTCCATGCCGGACCACGGTGACCTGGAACTCTATGCTCTCTGGCTATGTTCATGCCCTGGATCTGTCAGAGGCTCGAAAATTGTTTGATGAAATGCCTCATAGAGATGTAGTCTCTTGGAACCTGATGATCTCTGGTTTTGCGAAGGTGGGTGAGCTCAGAGAAGCTAGAAAAGTTTTTGAAGCTTCACCAGAGAGAGATGCAGTCTCATATAACACTCTTATCAGTGGTTATGGGAGTACTGGGTTTTTATCAGAGGCTCGAGCTCTCTTTGATTCGATGCCTTCTAGGACTGTGGCTTCTTGGAATGCCATGATCACTTGTTATTTGAAGAATGGGGAGTTGGGTTTGGCTCTGAAACTCTTCGAGGACATGCCTGAGAGAGATTCTTGGACCTTGAATGCTATGGTTTCAGGTCTGGTGAGGTGGGGGAACTTGGACATGGCTGCTGGATTGCTGGAGAGGGTTGGCGATGGAGGAATCGATGCTTATAACACGCTGCTTGCTGGTTATGCGCAGAGTGGGAGGTTGGTCTGTCTCTGTCGCGCACACACATGAAATTTAGCTTAAAATTTTATCAATTGTGTGGAAATTTACAAAATTGTGTGTATGGCCCTTGGAGCATGTCCAGAATCGCCCAAAAGTGACACTACTAAATTTTAACAAATCATGTATGAAAAATTGCACAAAGTAGTTATGGAAAAGTGCAGAAAAACGTTGTAGACACAAAAGTTCAGGACTTTATTATAACTATTCTCTGCGTATTGCGACGGGGCTTGGTAGCATTTGCTCTCTTGCTAGTCCATGTTCTTGGTTGTTTTCTTCTCTCCAAACGTGTTCGGAACACACTATGATCCTTTCACTTCGCTCTAAACTTTCAGAGAGAATTCTGTCTAACCTCCACAGAGCTCTAAAATTGTGTTTTCTTAATCACCTTCTGCAAATAATGGACCCTGAAAGGGATCATACAATAGGAGGCTAGTAAACAAAGCATTTGCTTCTGTCTCAGCTGCATCTGTATCATCCAGTCGGCTGTAGAAAGATAGAATCTCTGCTCCTTTGTAAGTTTGAAAGGCCTTCAATGCTTGATGCTCCTGGATGACCTCTTGAGGAGCCATCAAAGTCAAGTTTAATGATCCGAGTGGTGGAGGAATGTTAAGTACTTTGAGTGCTGTTGACAGAGAGCCAGTGGTTGAACAGATCCATGTAGCAATTCCCCAAAATTAATTTCTTGTGGGAGATTGCAAAGCACCTGATATTGTTGATGATAAAATTCCCACTCTCTCTCAGTTGCAGATTCAATGATGATTGGTTATTTGCTGAGAGAAAGATCTCTATCTCTGCTACCACGAATGTGTTGCATGTAATGGAATCTTTCTGATTATATGCTGAGTGAAAATTCTCTCTCTCGCCCTCTCTCTCTCTCTTTCTCTCGACACATGCACACACCCACGCACACACACCCCTTTTGTCTCCTTACTTTGTAGCTTTTGCCATTTTTGAAAAATCCATTAAGTTGTTTCCCTGTTGCATTCCCTTTTAATATGATTTTTATCTCTGCTATCCCTTTTGAATCTTTTCTCACCATTTTCATTGCTTAGGTTAGAAGAAGCATGGAGGTTCTTTGATGAAATCCCACATAAAGTTCTAAATTGTGCCAATGGAAAACCCAGGAGTCTAGCAAGGAATGTGGTTTCTTGGAATTCTATGATGATGGGGTATGTAAGGGCCGGAAAATTGTCTGAGGCCCAAAAATTATTTGATGACATGCCTGAAAAAGACCAGATTTCATGGAATACCATGATATCTGGCTATGTTCAAGCATCAGATTTGGCTAAAGCATCATCACTTTTCAGGCAAATGCCTGAACCAGATTGCCACTCTTGGAACTCGATGATTTCTGGTTATTCGAAGATTGGGGAACCAGAAATGGCTCGAATTCTCTTTGATGCAATACCCCAGAAAAGCTTGGTTTCATGGAATTCAATCCTCTCAGGGTTTGAGCAAAATGGCTGGTTCGAAGAGGCAATTGGTTTCTTTCTACAGATGCGAGAAGCTGGGGAGAAGCCAGATAGGCATACCTTTTCTTGTATTCTTAGTGTTTGTGCAGCCATGGCAGCTCTGGTTCAAGGGAAGCAACTTCATCAACAGATAGTAAAGACTTTGATTTCAGATATACCCATTGGGAATTCATTGATCACCATGTATGCTCGATGTGGAGACATGGGAGATGCTATGAAGGTGTTTAATGAGATGACTCATAGAGATGTGGTCTCTTGGAATGCATTGATGTGGGGTTATGCCCATCATGGTCATGCAAATGAGGCTATACTGCTATTTAAAGAGATGAAGAAATCAAAGGTTTCACCTACCCATATAACCTTTATATCTGTTCTTTCAGCCTGTAACCATGGGGGCTTAGTGGACGAAGCCTGTGAGTTCTTTGATTCCATGATCAGAGAGCATGGAATTGATCCTAAGGTTGAGCACTTTGCTTCTATGGTTGATATTTTGAGTAGACATGGCAAGCTAGAGGAAGCCATGGCCATGATTCAGACCATGCCAATGAAGCCGGATAGAGCAGTTTGGGGAGCTATGCTCAGTGCTTGTAGAAATCACGGTGATATCAAATTAGCTGAATTGGCTGCAGAGGAACTGTTAAAACTCGAACCTGAGAGTTCAGCCCCTTATATTTTGCTCTCTAATTTGTACGCTGATTCAGGGAGGTGGTGTGATGCAGTTAAAGTGAGAAACGATATGGAAAAAGCTAGAGTGAGAAAGCAACCTGGTTATAGTTGGATTGCTGTGCAGAGCCAAGTCGAAGTCTTTGTTGCAGGGGACCAGGGGCATTCTCAAGCCGAAGAGATCTATGGAGTTATTGAGATTTTCAATCGCCAAATTAAGGATTTGGGATTAGTTGTTGATATGACAGATTTCAATGGGTAGCTTGTGGAACTTCAATGAGGCAGTTCCAAATGATTTTTGGATAATTCAATAGAAAGCCCAGTGCTCTTATTTTCATCTTGTGAAATGATGGAAGACGATGGAGAAGAGATTTTAGACCTAACATCGGGGTCATGTTTTATGCTATTGAATCCACTCTCTTCCTCTTCATGCATCATTTCATTGATGATGATGACCCTAATGGATATGGTTGTCAACAGTCTAGTTGACTATAGTTTACTTTTCCTTTGGATTTCAATCATACTGTGAATTGATTGCTCATTGTGATGAAATGTGTAAGCTGACGGGCAGCAGATCCATCGAGGAAGCGATTTTTGAGATTTATGTTGTATTGATTTGACAAGTGTCACTGTTATAGAAACCACAATGTATGAAATTGAATTTTGTGACACCAATATAATGTGTTACAATTATTTAATAGGATTTTATATTATGAGATCATATATCATTATTATAAGGAGGTCACAATCACTCCTAACCATTAGATGTTAAATTAGATGGCTTGAGGTGTGTTACGAAGTTCGAGAATTTCTTTTTTTGAATTATGATTTTAGTCAATGATATACGTACAACCACCCGATTTCAATTTTACCTCTTTGTATTAAAAGTAAATTGTCTCTTTTTATACTTTTCCTTATATAATTGGTGAAATAGGTGTGAATAAATGCATCAATGGAACCTTTTTTATTGGAATGTGATTTTCTCAATTGTATGCATTATATTCCTTTTTTTGTTTCTTTCCTTTTTATGTCCTTGAAGCATTTTGTGTCTTTGGGAGGGAGGGAGGGACGGAGGGGCTTCAGATTGAACGAAATAATGCAAGAGAAAAGAAAATTGGACTCATCATTCCATGGTATGTCACATATTGAAACAATGTTCGGATGTTGAAATAATGTTCCTATTATTTAGAAAATTCAGCAAAATAAATTTAATTACAAATTGAGGAGTAATCCACTGCAAACCTTTATTTTTTCTTATCTGGAAAGCAGATAGAAGAAAGCACATTTTAACACAATGAATATTTTCAAACTACATTGAACCTCATTTCTCATGAATAGCCTGCAAATATTCGTGTTATATTTTACTATGCGTTAGATGCTTCCTTTGAATTGTTCTAACACTGGTTTCACAGAGGTACTTTATGCAAGGGCAACAACCTAGCGATCTGATTATGAATCATTCTCCTTTTTCTTGACCTTTTTTTTTTACCTGCAACATTCACTGGTCAATTTTTGTTATTTATTGAATTTTGTAAATGACAACCAAAAATTGAAATTGCGACATACAGATGGACAAGTTATCACAAATCCAGGGTGATTCATGATTAACCATGGTACTAAATTGCCACGGCAGTTCCACAATAATTGCAGCAGGTACAGCACTAGCTTACCTTCACAAGAACCAGCGACCATGTTTAATGATCCACAAGGCTACCAAAATCTAGAGAGCAAAACGGTGAAGACCAAAACGGTGAATAGCTTTTCAACATTCTGGGTAATTCTGTTCTATGATATTAGACACTGAATTGTGCTTCAGATACTATGGAACTATGGAAGAAAAGGATTTGAAGAAGCCGAGACCTGGAAGAGGTTTTGAGTATTCACTATTTTGAGATCCAAGAACTGCTCTTCGATCATCATGCTCATGGCTTTGGAGTTGCTTCAGTAGAAATGCAAGCGAAGATGTTTCACCATGGCAAGAACTCTGGTTTCTAACATCTGGGTTTAAGGCCAGAGCAGCTAAACTAACACAATTTTGAATCAAGTATATGTATCATGACCCTTGCAGTGCCCTATTTCCCCATTGGATATGCTGCAGGAAGATCAGTAATGGCTATGTCAACAAAGGTTCGCTGGTTTTTCTGCTCAAGTCTCAATATCCGCTTAACCAGAACATGGTAGATCACATCATCTGTCTGTCGTAGACAAGGCAACAGAGGCTGATGTCAGCATGCAACAGATATCATAGTATTGGCAGAAAACCGAAACGATACAAATATCTATTTTTGTTTCTCAAAAAAATACAAATATCTATTTTCTCTGCGATAGAAGATCCAAAGTAACTGTTCGGCATAATTTGCACATGTTTTGTGAGTCATGGAACTCCTTAACAATATGCCCGAAACACCATGCTCAAAAACAAGAAAAAGAAAATCCAGTAATGGGTTTATATGCACCCATTTTAGCAGGAAGAACTACCAAAAGAAAATTATTCGGAATGTTTAAAGAGGAAGACTCACTTTTGCTGTGACATACAGGGCACCCGTTCTTGCACTCCTTCCATTCATTTATGCATGTAGAATGAAACGTATGAAGACACTGCAGCTTCGTGGGCTGAAACCACCTCTCAAGATCATCAAGACAGATTCCACAAACCCCATCACTTTCACAAACCCAATTGGGTGCCGCACCCTTAAAAATATCGCGAAAAATATCGCGCCATTCAGCCCACATTGAGGCTTCTTGAGCTTGGAGAAGGGCGATTGTTTCACAATCAAGAACATTGTCATGACATGCGTCATGTAAAAGGTCATTCCCTGCAACAGTCATTCGACCAGAGAAGTACTTTATACGATAGAGGAGCTCATCGCAATTATCATATAGTCCCTCTCCTCCATACAATTTGACATACTTGGTTTGAGACTGGATTCGAGTATAGAGTTCTTGGTCGCCATGGATTTGAGACCGGATTAGAGTACACAGTTCTTCAACGCCAAGAACTAAGTTGTTGCTCGTCTGCTTCAATCTCTCTCTTGTGTTCTCCAACTTTGGGGAGACATCAAAGTGAGGTATTGCACCCTTGTAATCACACTTGATAGAGGAGCAAAGTCCATGGAGAAGATCATCTTCCACCTTGAACAGAACAGATTCTTGAGCTTCAAGAACGACATGATCAATGTCAGGATGAACCATCGAACGAATTCGAGAAGAGAAGAGTTTTCGTTGACAAATGTAGTCATCACAAGGCTCGAGTAATCTCACTAGTCTTTGTGACTCGTCTTCTCCATCGCCCAATGGCTTCCCTCTCTGTATTCTGATTTCTGCAGCCATCGTTTGGAGGCCATGGAAGAAACAGTTGAGACCTTGAGATGAAAGATAGGTGCAGGGGGTTGTAGAATCATATTTACGCTTTTTCATGGTGGGAGGTGGGGAGAGAGAAAATTTATGAGAGACATGAATTAGGAAGAGAGTTTATATTGTTAAGAAGGAAGAAAAAGTTCAAGAAAAACCCGAAACCCTAAACTTTCTTAGGATACATGCCTGCGCCATTAACATGCAATGTAAGGCATGTAGTTTTTTTTTTTTTTAACAAATTGCATTTATATCTGTATTCTCGCCTGGAGCAGTAGGAAAATCTCTCGCCAGTCGGCACATCGGGTCCTAACCATACTTAACCTGTTGTCGGATTTGTTAGACTGCTAAAAACCATTTTGGCAGGCCCACTGACTAGTTTGAGGGGCAAACAAAGTTCGGTAAAAAAAATATTTTCTGCTTTTAAAGTTTGATCGAATCAATTTATCGAGAGGCTAAAATTAGTTTTGATTGGACTTGTCCCCTCATTAGTTTTTAATCTTGTTTAATCTTGATAAGTGGTTGGTCGTTCTTTTAATGGAAAAGTGTATATGGAGCTTAGGCTCTAAACAATCAAATTAATGCTTACCTCAGAAATTTCATTAGAAGAGGTTGTTTTGATGCTTAAATATCTTCAAATTGATCATCTTGACATCAAGATACATGGACATGAGAAAAAAATAGATTTCAAGTTTTGAAAATAGTGCATCTTGTAATGCATTTTTGGACGGTTAATTTTAAAAAAATTTAAGATTTCATAAATATGCTCGATCTACACTATTTTTTTAACTTTAAATTTTATAATTAAAGATAAAATATATTTTAAAACTGCTATAAATATTTCCAATATTGATATCACATTTCTTGAGACTATTTGAATGTGGGCTATAATTTGATTGTTTAGATCCTCCGCTCTATACAAACCACATCCCTTTTTTTAAGTATATTTTCCTTTCTTCCCAGTACAGTAGGAATATCTCTTTATAACAATGTTTCCTTATATACATGTTAGTAAGATAAATATTTAATTTTTTTGGGTTTTTTTATTATCTTCTTTTTCCGGATACGAAGAATTAGCTTTAAAAAGTTTTTCTATAGGAAGTTAAAATATAAGCTATTATTATATAGGAGAGTCCAAATAAAAAAAGTTTATTTCTATATATAGTATCTATATATACTAGATTAGTAAGCCGAAATTAAGGGGTGGACATGCATAAATAAGAAGGGGTGCAATTCTATAAAGATTGTAGGACAGGATGAAAGAGAAAGTAAGCACTTTCATATCCTAATTATAGAGAGACTGAATCATCATCTTTTTTTTTGTTTTTTTTTTAATTAGATGAGGAACCAAATGAGAAAGAGTACGCACTTTCTTACCCAATCAGTGATAGACTAATTTCTTTCTAAAATTTAGATGATGAATAGATGTTAGAAAGTAGCGCATGAGATGAGATAGATGGAGAGAGACTTAAGGCGATGACCTAAATGGGTGAAATGTACATCTTTATTTAGTGAATATTTTTCAAAGGAAATAAAACTACAAATTCATATTGCCTAATATCTTTCTAGACTTTTTCTCCAAGTAAAAATTATTGCCTAATATTTTTTTTTCCATAGCTTCCAAACTTTTTCTCCAAATAAAATTATTGCCTAATATCTTTTTTATCATAGCTTTCAAACTTTGTTTCCAAGTAAAAAATACTGCCTAATATATAGTTTCCAAACTTACGAGATATTTGATACCCTCTAAATATATATGATCGGTAAATACCGTACAAGCACCTCTTTTTATAGCCTCTACCCTTTTACGTTTAAACCATAACCTTTATTCTCTCTCTCAATGTGGTCTCTTTCTTCTTCTCTCTCAACATTATATTTACATTCAGTCAAACACTTTTCCGTTGTGTTTTTTTTATTTTTTACTTTCTCTTAATTTTATGTTAGATATTATCAAAATTACAAGAGTTGCCAAAGCTAATCATTGAGAGCATTAAAACGAAATAATTTCTTACCGGGTTAAGAGCTTTTATATAAATATATATATATATATATATATATATATATATATTCCTTTTGTTTTAGAGTGTATTTGTTTTTTCTATGTTGATGGCATACATAATTTGAGCACTCTTTGCATGAATGATACATATCATACCGGTGCATTGCACATGTTATCCAACAAGATAATATTATCTCTCATATTATGAAGAGATTTGTTTTAGGTATGTTCATATTTCATTTTTGGGTGCAACACATGTAATTCATAATTTTATTTAAAAGTTTTGATGCATCTGCTTATTAATGAATTTTATATTTTACATTAATGAATTTTAATTTTAAAATTTTTTAAATTTTTTTTTTAAAATTATGCACCGTCATTTATAAATTTTAACTACAATTTTATGAATTATTATGCATCCATAGTTATTCGTAATCAATTTTTAGTATTATTATAAAATTTACAATATTAGAAAATAATTTTTTGTCTTTACCACAAAGTAGAAATTCAACTATTTATCTTTTAGGAATTTTTTAATAAATCTATATTTTATAGTGTGATGTTTAAAATTTATCAAGGTTTATGATTAATTTTCATATTTTCACTAGAAAATTTTAAATTATCATATTCATTTTTTTGTATTTTTTTATTTCTTTTTTATGTGTAACGCACTTAATCCAACTAGTAATGAACTTAAATATCAACTTACAAGGATTTCCTTGAAATTTTAAGTTTACATAAGAATTAAGGAATATAAATTTATAAATTTTTATTTCTGGTCATGAATTTTTGTTAAAAATAATTCCTTCCAATTTAATTCAGGGGATTAAGAAAGTATGTTTTGTACCTAGTTAATGTCTCATGCGTTGCATGAAGCTCTAACTTAACATGATTTTTGTAATTAACAGATTTTGCGTACAAATTTTTTATTTTAATTTAACTAAATTTGTGAAAAGAGAAAAAATGGAACGTTTGGCAATGTTTAAAATATTAATATTTTTGGCATCTAATATATGGTGTTTTTTATTTTTATTCTCTTTTCAAAATATTCATATTTTTGGCATCTAATATATGGCATTTTCTATTTTTATTTTCTTTTTAGTTCTTTCGATATGATTTTGGCTGTTTAATTTTCTTACATTTTCTATTTTTTTTATTTTTCTTTTATTGGATAAATGGAATGCCTTCACCGAAATCCCAATATTTCTATGACTCATATTTTTGGGAGACGCGCTAGAAAAATGGATGACTCGAGTGGACAGTCACGTGAGTCACTCGGAATTGGCTAGGGGCGCCAATGGGGTCGGATCAGATCGACTCGCCAACCCACCAGGTTGAACCGAATCGGGTCTGGGTCTAACGGGTGGGTTTTGGGTGAAACTGAGTTGGACTTGACGTGACCAAGTATAAACTATATTAAATATGTACGAAATAATATATAAAAAAATGTGTATTTTTTTAAATTTCTATACCTGGGTATCGATTTGGTTCAAGACCTGAATCCAAGTGAAATCTAACTAGGTTGGGTCCAACTCAGGGTCAACTTGGGCCCGACCTGACCATGACTCCCGTAGAACCAGCCTTAGAGGGTCCCAACATGAACAAATCGGAGCCCTTGACAAAGCCTGGAGTGCAACAGCCCATTTTAGTTAGACTCGGCTGTGTTTCTTAATCCTAGTCGGGCCCCCAAAGAGTTGCCCAGTCCGAATTCTGAGCGGCCTCTATTGTCTATGCCATTTCTCCAGCAAGGCCGTAGCTCGTAAGCAACGAGTTTGAGATGATAAAGTTGTGAAGATTGCAGAATATCTTATTTTATTTGTTTATCTTTGTTTATACATCTCAGAACTTCCCCTAAATCCTCTAAACAGCCAAAGCGCTTTCTTTTCCCTAGGGGTGACTCAAATCTGACTCGGACAGGTCTAGAAATTTAAAAAATAAAAAAATTATCATACATATATTATATACATATATTTATATCGAGTTCCGTCGGGTCAGCTCCAAGCTGAATGCAGGTCCAACTTAGGTCCGAACCAAAGCATTTGGACTAGGACATGAACCCAATTTAGGTCCGATCCAAGTCATTTGGACCTGGAGACAACCTGCCAAGTCCAACACAAGAACCCGGACCCGGACCTAGTTTGGGTCGATCCAACCCCAATGCCACCCCTACTTTTCCCAACTACAACGAAAGCCCTTTAAAAGGGGAATCCGTTAACATTACACAAGATCCCTCTTTCATTTTATACTGACGACCCCACAATATAATAAAAATTAATTTCATTATTAAAGTTTTGGATTTCAATATTACTCAAGGCCCACTTATTGATAAATTAAAGGGTGAGATTCTGCTTAACAAACATATTAAAATGCCTCCACCTTTCAAAATTCATCTCCTACCAAATCCCATCTTTTTGGTTCATAAATAACAAAACATAAAATAAAATTTCAATTTAAACCCCTTTGTTTTAACCATTCAAGGTAATTATTCATTGATCATCATACCAACATAAACGTGATTGGTTGTGGTTTAAGATGTGTTTGGTATCCTATATATACATATGAAAAACTAAGGCAAACCCTTACTTTTGAAAATGGAAAAATGCCGTATGAGCCCCGGAAAGCATCCAAAGATGGATACAAATGGGCGGTCCCTTAAAATAAGTTAAAACTAGTGGTCTAAATATTTTCCTCGTAAAATTATTACTTTTAGTTTTTAAGGTTTATTTGTTTACATATCGATGATCTCGACATTAGAGATAACATGTCCCAAAATAAGGTCCAATCTATCTAAAAAATGAAACTTTAAATTTTAAGAGTGATCTCACTTTTATATGTGTCCAGTGTTTGAAAAATCGAACCTGCCTCCAAAACGGGCCAAGGGCTAGATCCGACTAACTGGTAAACCTCCTGATTCAGTCAGCCTAACGCGGCAGTCCCGACCGGTCCAAAATGTACAAAAAATACAAAACAAAAGCCAAAAAAATATGAAAAATATATTTAAAATATAATTAAACAAAACACGTCCAAATGAAATTGAAAAGTAGTGAAAAAGTGGGATTTAAAAAAATGTTTTGTGCCAGTAGTATTTTTGAAATGTTCTAAAAAAGATAGAGAAAATATTATAATAAGTATATACGACCAAAACACTTATAAATCTTTGTCAAAATGATAAAAAAAACATTTAAAAACATATTACAAACAAATTTCTTATTTTTTGAGATTTTATATATTTTTTGTTTTTTTTTTAAATACCAAGCCGGACTATCAAAATTGACCAAAACCGGATTGGCCAGTGCCCGATTCCGGTTTGACCAGCCAGTTCCGAATTGGACCTTACCTTTTAAAAATTACCTGATTCAATGTCCAAAAAAAAAAAAAAAAATCTCCAATTTGTGTGGAAATATCGTATACCTACCACAGGATCGCACATGTGGGGCAAAATAAAAAAATTTTCAATTTAGAAGTCAAATTTTGGGATCCGCCCAAATTTAGTTCACATAACTTTGATGAAATTTACAATTTCAAGGTTCAGGAATTGGAGGTGCTAGTACCAGCATGACCTTTGTCAATAACACGTGGACGACTATGTAGCATGGACTGAAAAGTGGGTCCAAGAAGAAAGCCGCTGTCTTCATTTCGCTGTCGAGTGATGCCCGTTGATGACGAGAACCGACAGTTGTTTTCGAGAAATTCAATGCAGTCAAAGGTCGGGTGAAATGTTTCTTTCTCTCTAAGAACCACGAAACTCTCATGCCACAGGGTGCCAATGGACGGGCCCGGAACCAGCCCATCCCTGTCTCTATCCCAGCACTTGTCTTCATAGGACCGTCGCAGGCCCGAATACGACCCTATTACGGCCGGGCAAGTAAAAACTGGACTCGCACTGGCCGTAGCCCGCCACTCCGGTCACATTTTCGTGGCTCAGGCCCTATTCTTTTAGAGGGCCCGTTTCCAGCAACTGAGTCATTGCTCGGTAGAGGCTATTTACCTAATATACCCCTCAGTTTTAGAAAAATAGCAACATACCCTACCACTGTAGCAACGAAGTAAGCTACATGTTTGCATTTTTTATGTAAGGCCCTAAATACCCCCCGCAAATGCTACCAATGAACAGAAGATGATTGTCGTGAGAACGTCTAGCAATGCTCCCGCAGGAGCTTACTGGACAAAAACTTCCTCGGACGAAATAAATATTTAAGAAAATATTTTTTGTCCAAATTCTGGATGTAAGTATATATATATATATATATATATATATAAATTGATTTTAATTTCTTGAGCATCTAGATCTTTCCCCTCTAAAAATTAGGTTGTTCTTGTTCAATCTTGGGATATCGCTCTATTTGGATGAGAGAGAGAGAGAGCGCAAATTAAATATTTATTTTCCGATGAGGTTGGCCTCTAGGTTATAAATATTATATCCCAAAAAATTTAGTATAAAAAACAATTGGGCAGTATATGCTCTCACGAGGGCATGAAATCTTTTCATGTCTCACATGTGTAGAAAGATTTGTTTTTCCATGACAGCATTGCCTATGTGATCCCTTGGCTAATCCATTGAATATTTTTAGACACTTGACGCCCTTCCTATACAATTTAATAATTTTTGCTAAAACAAAAAGTATTTATTAACATCATCAACATATAATTTTTTTAACTTCTACAATACGGTTGCCATCTAATAAAACTTTTATCCTTTATTTTAAAACTTCAAAGATCATCAACTTGCACTAAATTGTAAAATCGTGGATCATCATTATTATCATTAGAGCTTTTTTTCAATAAATTAGGGCCAGCTACACGAGTCTTGATATGTCAGTCTTCTCTATTAAGGGTTATACCTTTAGTCAATCCATAAATCCCAATTTTTTTCACACTACTTTCAGTCATACCCTTTTGGGGCTATCCATTGTCATTTTTGGTCTTCCACTTGAACTAAATCGCACCTCCTAACAAATATTGTACTGGATATTCACAATACATGGCCAATCCACTTAAGTCTACTTTCTGTCATCTTATCGCCTATTGGTGCCATACGTAAACTTCCCTGATTTATTTCGAATTCTATCACTTATTATCTTGCCACTTATTTATTGCAACATCCCCATCTTTGCTACACTGATTACAGTGATTTAAAAATCAGTTTCCCAATCCGAAATCGGACGATCCAAATCAAGAATCGCCATGACCATCCTGAATCCGGTTAAAAACCGAGATTCGGTCGATTCAAAATAGTAGACTCGCCTATTTTTTGCGGAACCGTTGATTCCGCCGATTTTTGATCGATTACAATTGATTATTCACCAAGTAAAGCGAGAAAAAAAGGATGAACATTTTTTCTTGAATTATCTTTTTAAAATTTTGTGACAAAAATTACTTATTCCGCCATTTCTTCCGATCCGATACACCAATTCCCTTGATCCGTATAGGTGTGACCGATTTGAGTCATCGATTCTTTTTTTAAAATACTCATTGATCATATGGGTATATTGTTTCTTGACAGCCCAATATTTCACCCCATATAACAAAACTGATCTTGCAGTTATCCTATTGTTCATAATTAAGACAAAGATTTGAGCATTCTTATCGTTCTAAAAATATATATATTCTAGAGCATCCCTCAAAAGTTTAAACTTTATGTTGACAACATTTCAGGTTTCATCAATCAAAACTATGTCGTCTGCGAACAACATACGATGTGGTACCTCATCATGTATGTGTCTAGTTAAATCGTCCATAATTAAGACAAAGATTTGTAGCCTTAATGTTGATCCCCGATATAGACCTTTTGTCATTGAAAACCTACTCGTCTCTTTATTAGTTATCGACACACTATTTAGCGCTCGCTTATACATATCTCTAATTAAGCTGATGTAGTGTTTGCAAAACCACGGATCTAAAAAGCATATACATCTGATAATTTTTTGGGGTGAGTGAATAGATCTGATAGGAATTAGAATATGTACCACTTCACCCATCTCTAATACCGATTTTGGGATTGCATTGACTACATTTAAGCTTGGGTAAAGTTTATTCAGGGTTGCAACTTTAAAATGTAGAATTACAAATGCACCTCAAAAATCTATCGGAAACATTGTTTTAGTGTTGAAAAGCCTTCTAATTGATCATCTCGACATTAGGATGTATGAATATTAAAAAAAAAGAAGTTTTTGAGTCCCAAAAATAGTGCATCTTACAACACATTATCTAGATTATTTATTTTCAAGATTTTCATATGTTTATAGATCTACTTGATTTTAACTATTTTTGAAGTTTAAAATTTGTTAATTAGATATGAAAATAGAGTTTAAAATAATCCTAAGAATTTTTTACAACAAAATTACATGTTATGATAAAATTTGGGGGTGAACCTTAATTGGATTGTTTAAGGTTGCAACCTTATAGAAAACCGCACCCTTTAATCTTTTTCGTACTTCGTATAATGTAAGTCGACTGCGAAGGCAAGGATATCCCTGGAATTGCTCAATTTCTCAAGGATAACAGTATGAAACATTTTCCTACTTACTTCGTCTAATGTAAGTCAACTGCGAAGGCAAGGATATCCCTGGAATTGCTCAATTTCTCAAGGATAACAGTATGAAACATTTTCCTACAAAGCCCTTGTCTGAGCCAGAAATTATTTTATGTTAATGTGTCTCAGCCAATCTTCAATCCTGACCGTCCAATATCACTAGTAATTAGGGTTTCCGGCCCCATTGCGGAAATCTCTTTGGTATTAGGTTTTCCGGCCAATATGAACTCCTAAAAGTAGGCGTAAATGTCCTAAAGTAGCAGGAATCTTGCTGGTGTTAAGGTTTCCGGCTACTACAAACGCCTAAAAGTAGCCGGAAATGGCGAAGAAAAAGATGGAGCTTACTCTCCTTTCTGGCAAAGGCCTGAAAGCCTTCAATTTCTTCCGAAAACTCTCTGTTTTTGCAGAGGTTTCAGTCGGCGATCAAAAGACGAAGCAGAAAATCCCAGCTGACAAAATCGGGGATGGGAACCCGGAGTGGAAGCACGCCATGACCATCGATCTCGACGATCCGGGCCTTGATCAGATGATCCTGACCGTCAAACTCAAGAGCGAGGGTTTATTCGAGCGATTAATCGGCGAGGTTCACATCCCTGTGCAGAGCCTCCTAGAAGAAGGATTTGGAGTTTTAAGGTACGTCAGTTATCAGGTTAGCGATCCTAATGGAAAACCTAATGGAGTTTTGAGTCTCTCTTACAAAATTACCGGAAACTTTCTGGAAAATGAAACTTTTCCCGGAAAATCAGAGATTCTGGCGACTGAATATGCTGCTGTGGTCCAAGAAAACGGGACTTTTCAACCGGAAACTGATTTTCCTTCCAAATTTCCCGGTGAAGAGGATTTCAAAGCACAGGGAAATGGGGTTTTTGCCCCTTATCCGACAGTGGAGCATGACCCATGCGATATTTCATTCTCTTCGGAGGCGCAATTTTCCCAGGAAAATTGTACTCGGCCGCAGCCCGAAATCTCGTATTTTCCCCATGGAGTTCAAATTTCGGCTCAAAACATCGGCCAGCCGCCTCCACCTTTCCACTCGCCGCCTCCTCCTCCTCCTCCTCCCCCAGGATATTTCGCTTTTCGGCCTCCCCTGCCACCGTTTGATCCGTACAGTTCCTGGCGCCTGGAATGTTGTCAATATAATTTCCCGGCAACACAAGGCCCAGGGTTTTGGGGGATTAATGATTCTGAGAGGGGATTAGGAACTCATTATTATTAGGTAACTAATATTTGGAGCCTATTTTTTATTTTCCCTAAATCAATGAAAATTGTAGGAGTTTTTTTTTTTTTTTGTAATGTTTCGAACGTATCATTTACCTTTGTACAGTAGTACAGTCTGCAATTTGGCACGAGTCGTGGAAAAGTTTACAATTTAAATAGTATCTAAGAGGGATCAGGTAATGTAATTTGTGATTCTTTAATATGGGGCTATTTATTTTTGTTACAATAAGGGAACAATCAATCCTAGCCATGAGATGTTGGGTTAGAAGGCTTGCGGTGCGTCACGAAGTTAGAGAAATTTTTTTTTTCCAATTCGACCATTTATTTTTGTTCAAATGTGGTCACAATCAAATTTAATCATTTCGTGTCAAATTAGAAAGCTTGGGAACAAAGTGAACACTTTTTTTTTTTTTTTTAACTCTGAATCTAGTTAGTTAATGACTGTGATGCAATTAGCCAAGGACTCGGTTTCTATGCGGACAAGCCCACATATGTAGAAATGTGGGCTTCTTAATAAATTTATTTTTTTATGGATTTTAAGACTTGATTATTAAGGATATGGAGATCATGAATATGAAAAAAAATAAATAAAATTTTAAATTTTAAAATAATAATTTTAATAAGAAAGCATTTCGACGGTTAGTTTTTTAGATGGAATACCTCTGTGCATCTATCTTTAAGATGGATGCTTTACACTTTCTAGACCGCATATGTAGAAATGCGATTCAGCCCCAATGAAACAATTTTCCATCACCCAATTTGAAGTCTCACGGATAAAAGTATTTGCGATCTCGTTGTATTAAAAATAAACAAAGCCTCTTTATATCTTGGTAGGGTTGAAGTTTTACACGTTTTAGTTGCTCTTTATTAAGGGATGCCCTAGTTTTTAGGAAAAGCAGTTTTGGCACCATCAAACCTTCAAACTAGTTTCCAAGGTGATCATGGATCTAAGAAAAAACAGATTCGAAGGCCTAGGAATGGTCTATTTCGTGATGTGATTTTTGGACCATCCATTGCAAGTCTACACAATCGCTAGCTCTATATTAATTTTGAAGCTTCAAATTTTTCAGAGGGAGTAGAACCACATTTACTAGTCATTACAATGGAGTCATTGCAATGGTTTTTAGTACACTACTATTTTTGGAGCTTTAAATTTTACTTTAAAAGCATAAATATATCCGTTAAATCATTAATAGACAATGATTTCTTACTTTTGTATGATTTTTGGATCTTTAAATTCCACAATAAAAGCATAAACATATTTATAAATCATTGCAATAGTTTCTAACACCTCATCTGCAGAGTTTTGAAATGCAACCCTACAGTATCGTACTCATTCAAGAATTTTCGGTTAGTGGAGAATGGTTTTCGGGACCTGAATTTGATGGAAAGTGTAGTGAATATTAGCACCCAAATCCCATATTTTGAACAGTTGCTTTCCCAAAAATGTATATAAGCTGCACTAACTTTATTTCTTCATTGAAAATATTAAAATGGACTCAAAAAAGAAAAACATTTGAGACAATCAAAGATTGCCAAGAGACACCCCTTTTAGCCAAAGAGTCAGTTGGCCTTTTTATATGACGTAACTAAATGTAACATTCATACCCTGTGCAATCTCCATAATTTCCAAACTCTTAGATCAATCTCCGGAGATAAAGTTGTACCAATTAATGATATTCAAAGAACAAAAAAAAAACAAAAATGTCCTATGAGTTTTGTTTGATGTCTGAAATTGAACCAAAAATGCAAGAATTGGTAAATTTATGGCACCTAGAGAGAACTTTCAAAAGGCAGTGAAAATGGATTTCTCTCCCCCTTGAAAACGTATGGCCATTGAAATTCGGTGGAACACTTCTCTCTTCAATGCGTTTTTTGGGAAAAGTATGGGCTTTGACATTTAAAGCATGTACTTCGTGTGGAACACGACGGATCTGATTTAGAGGAACAATATGGGTAAGAACTTTGTGGCGTGGCATTGGACAGTGAGGGTGATATCGGAATCGTTGGAAATAGAGGGTGAAACGAAAAAAAAAATAAAAGATATGGAAAACAAAGGTTGTTTTAATCTCTTTGATCCTAGATGCCATATATTGTTTTTTCAAGATAATATTTGTCCATTACTTATTAAAATTAGTGTGCACTTAAGTTCTGACCAGGTAAATTTATCCTCGAGATACAAAAAAAGCGGAAGATTGCACAAAGCCAACTTGTCAATACAAATGCATAAGTATGGTAAGTTTTAGAGCATAAGAGTTGCCTTTTTTCTAGAGAGAGTTTTTCAAAAAAAGCTTAGGAAAATCCTAATGCTTTTATGTCAAACATGCCCTTTCACTTCTTCGGGATACAAAATGGCAGAATATTGAAGAAAGCCAACTGGCCAATATAAATACACAAGTATTGTAAGTTCTAGAGCATAAGAGCTTGCCAATATAAAAGCATAAATATTGCAAGGTCTAGAGTACAAGAGTTGCCTTTCAAGAGAGAAAGTTGTTAGAAAAAGGTTTAGAAAATTTGTATTGCTTTTATGCCCTTTTACTTTTCATGAGTGTTCTAAAAAATCAAGACTCGCTACTGATTTGTGTGCAAAATGCAAAGTGCACCACCTTGCGCCCTTGCCCCTCTCACGCAGATGTGCACATTTGTGATCACATTTTGCTCTGCATAGGTCTTATCTCCCATTTTGGTCTTAAAAAACAAATAACAAAGATATCCACATATTTAAATAGGTTTACATCTTCCACATCTTAAATGTGGGATAAATAACAAAACACAATTTTCAGAGCTTTAAAATTTCCAAAATCCTATTGGATTATTATTTTGAAATAACATAAGGTATTTCTCCAAGCCAAAATAAAACAGCGATCTTGCTAAATTCCCCATTATAGGTGATCTCCCAAACCTCACTCCTCCATACCAGAGGGATCCTCCCATTGGCGATAAATTGCTTCCATGCTTGCTCACCCACCTTAGAGCTGCTCGTACTTCTTTGGGCAAACGACCTTCTTGATTTGTAAATTTGTGTGGAATCACCATATGATTTAAAAATTAGATCGTCTTTGTTCGATCATAAAGTATGAAAATTTTCACTTTTTGATGTTAGTTGCTAGGTTAAGGTTACATCCCCAAATTTTAGGGTCAGAATAATCCGAAACAGGGTTTTGACCGAGGCAGCAAATGGAACATTTGCTTAGGAGCACATTTAATTTTTTTTTCCTAAATTTTTCTATTTTCGGCCCCAAAGTCATTTTCCAAGTTCAAACCATAGTTATCAAGACCGAACGGGACTGGCAGTCCAACTGATGAGACCGCTAACTGATGCTTTTACCGGTATAGTCTAGAAAAAAAAAAGTTTGGTAAAAATCTAGTCATAATTTATGTTTGATAAGTTTTGGCCGATCAGATAGGGTGGCAACGGGTCGGGTCCAGCTGGATCCAGACCTAGACCCGAATGTATTCAGGTACAAGTTTTGGACTCGGACCCGACCCATTGGGTCCAAAAGTAGGACCCATAATTGTACCCCTTGGGTCTCGGGTCTATCCTGTCGGATCCCAGGTCTACTTGAGTATGTTGCCACCATCACTATGAGTTTTTTTTTTTTTGCCCCTTTTTTTGCTATCATATACCCATATTATTGGCAACAATATCACAATTACCTGCCATTAGATTTCAAACCGTCTGATTTCTCGTTTCATAGCTAAAGATGATGATGAATTTTTATCATATATATAATCATTAATACACCCAAACGGATAGGGCTTGAAGTATTTTGCTTCTAATAGTTTACGGGTACGGGTCGGGTCCAACGGGACCCAGATTCAAACCTGAATAGTGTTTGGGTCTAGGTTTTGGACTCAGACCTGACCCACAGGTCCAAATGTTGGACCCATACCCGGACCCGTGTCAGGTATACCTGCGGGGTCCTGGGTTGGGTCCAAGTCCATTGCCACTTCTGTAGTCGACGGGCATATTTTGACTGGTTCGACTGGCCAAACAAAGTGAACAACTTTTATTGAATACATCACATATTTTTAAACTATTATTTATATTTATTTTTCAAAATTTCTATACTCCAATCAAACTAATTCCACTAGCGGTCGAATTGGTTTTGATCAGACCAAAACCCTCATCAATTTGGTGGCCGATCTGATCTTGATAACACAGGTTAAAAATAAATTCAAAACTCTTATGGAGGTCTTACCATTTTTGCTCACTCCTTTCAAGATTAAGGGCCAAATATATGAGCAACAAGACATTTATAAGTGTTCTGTCTTATTGAGATCTTTCATTTGAAAGTTCTTATTGTTATTGAGGACGACCAACTATCTTCCTTCTTCTTGGTGGGTAAGTGGTAGTGTCCCTGAGAAAGGTGAGATTCGACACCAGAGTATTGTGGGCCTATTCTTGATCATAAAATTGAAGTTATTTGAACAATTCAAACGAAATGAATACAAAGTTTTGATAACGCGGTGCGTGGGATGCCACTTTTGCCATTTGGTACGAATTATTCTCCTAATTGTCAAAATATTTAATAAGACTCCAACTGAAAAATTTATCAGATTCAATGCCCAAGATTCCTCAAATTGACCATCTCAACTAAAAGATGAACGGACATGAAGAAAAATAGAGAAAACAAATAGATTTCAAGTATTGGAAATACCGTATCTCATACAAACCACACCCAATCTTAAATAGAGTTAGGTCTGTGTTAAGAGCCCTAGTTATATTTATATTGTAGAAGTAAGGTGCACTTTTAAATTTTGCATGGAGATTGAATTCCGGTGTTAGAAACCATAGGATTGTTTGAAAATCTATTTTTATCCATAGGTATGAAATTTAAAATTTTAAAAATGGTAAAGATCGAACAAATCTATAAGCACATGAAAATCTTGAAAATAGACGGTTTAGATAATTTATTACAGTATGGACTATTTTCAAGACTTACAAGTCTTTTTTTCTTCATATGCATTAATCTGGAGGTCAAAATGATCGATTGGAGGGTTCTACGACATCAAAACACTCTTCTAGAAAAGCATTTCGGTGCACCTTACCTCAATAGCATAAGGCTGCAACCTTATATAAATTTTTTCCTTTTATATACGCTCTTCAGTGAGGATATATCATAAATTTCTATTAATGTTTTAATGGAAAATATATCATAAATTAATTAACCTAGGTCCCAAAAGAAATATAACATGC